AAGACCGGTGGTTTCGGGCTAGGGCTTTTTGGGTTTTTAGGGTTCGTGAGCCCTAAACCCTACAGCACGACCTTGTCCTCCTTGTATTGAGAAGCGACTTCTGATGGGTGCCTGCATGTCAGGACTGGCAACGACGAAGGCAAGAGGTTCTGCATAGGGTTTAGGACCCTTTAGGGGGAAGTTGTGTTAGGACTCTAAGGTTGAACCCATGGGCCCTTAGTATGGACCCTTAACCCTGGGATCCTTATACACCCACTCTATACCCTATATGCACCCCTAAGGGTCCCTAGAAAGGCCTAAGGGTCCATAGTAGGAGCCCATGCTTCGAACCCTAAAAGGACTGTGCTTTCCTGCGTTCTTCCGGGGTCCGGAGATGCTATTTGGGAGTTTCCGAAAATAGGGGACCCTAATATAGCACCCTAAATAATAGGATCCTCAATATAAGGACCCCAAAATAAGGCACCCCGAATTTTCGGAAACTCCCATGTGCAGCATGTTCGGGTAGTCGGTGTGGCAGGCTAGGACTCCCTACACCTTAAACCCTAGCCCCTAAACCTCAAACCCTAAACCTTAAACCCTAAACCCTAAACCTCAAACCGTAAACCCTAAACCTTAAACCCTAAACCCTAAACCTTAAACCGTAAACCCTAAACCTTAAACCCTAAACCCTAAACCCTAGCTTCGACTGGGATCAGCTGACTGGGAACACAGCCAGCTCTGGCGCCCCTGATGGGTACCTCTTTAAGCTAAGGTTCCTGTCAGGCTCCTTACTACAAGGGTGGCGTACTGAATTGGGGACCTAGAAGAGGGACCCTACTTAGAGGTTCATGGGTAGTTATAAGTAGGGTTGTAAATAGGGTAACTATAATTATAACCCAGATCAGGGGACTTATAGCCCCACTTATAACTACCCATGAACCTCCAAGTAATTTAGAGAACTACCCAGATGACTTGCCGCTTGCGCCTATTCTTCCGCGGCTTTCGCAGCTCGGCTTTTGTTTCGAAGGCCTCTAAGACGCTGACCCCCAAAAGGATCTAAAAAATAGATCCCCTAATTAGGGACCCTAACTACAAAAGGGTACTTTATAGGAACCCCCTTATAGGGGATCTATTTTTTTAGATCCTTTTGGGGGTCTGGGAAGACGCTAGGGATCCCAAGGAGGGGAGGGTTTAGGGTTTAGGGTTTAGGGTTTAGGGGAAGCCTCCTGAAGCCATGGAAGACGATGGTCCCGGGAAGACTCCTGCGCCTAAGGGGCACTTAGAAATAAGTCTTGGTGACTAGGGTTTAGGGTTTAGGATTTAGGAGTTTAGGGTTCAGGGTTTAGGAGTTTAGGGTTTTGGGTTTAGGGTTTAGGGCTCATAGGGGAGTTTCCGAGAATAAGGGGTACCTTTTTTTCAGGGTCCTTATAATAACGATCCTACTATTTAGGGTGCTATTTTGGAGTCCCCTATTTTCGGAAACCCCCAAATAAGTCTTGGTGACTAGAATCTCTGAAAACCAGCTAGCATGATAGTTTTGTGCAGGAGTACGAAATTCAGTATAGGTGCCGCCAGAAGAAGCACCGGCAAGTGCTGTCGCCAAGTGGCTCGACGTAGAAACGCCTGGCTACTTGGCTAAACTGCACACGGTCCCTTGAAAGCTTGAATTGCTGCGTGCCGATTCCAGCGAGCACTGGGCGATACACTTGCCATACTACCGTTCTTGTCACTGCTGGGTGCTTGCTGGACACTCTTTCATGCTCTAGATCTAAAGGATGCGCAGGTGGCTGGGGCCTGTGGGATGGAGTGCAGTTCAGGGTAGCTTTCAGGTTGTGAAGGGGCACTTCAGTGTTACACATGCTGCCACAGCTACACGCTCCTCCTAGCATACGAGCTTCCCGCCCGTACCAGCGCTTGGAAACAGGGCCTACAAGACACAAACTCCCACAAGACACAAACTGAACTCCCATAAAAGCCTAATCCCTAAAACCCTAAACCCTCAAAAAAAAAACGAAAAAATCCTAAACCCTTAAAAAACTACAAAAAAACCTTCACCCTTATCACCAGAGATCGACAGGAGAGCATGCAGAAGGGGCTTCGGCGGCACCGCTCCATGAGGCCTCGGGGGAAGTGCGCTGCTACACCAAAATCCTACGGGACTTAGGCTTTAGGGTTGCAGTTCTAGGGTTCAGGGTTTAGGGTTCCGGGTATAGGGTTCAGGGTTCAGGGTTTAGGGTTACACCCTGCCCGAACGCGAACGCCAAGAAACCTAGCGCTTTTTATTAGGGACATATACAAGGAAATCAGAATCAACCCCAAGGGACGTATCTAAGAAAATCATCGTAAGGAGCCCCAATAGGGGCCTCAGTAATTAAAAGTACTCTAAGGCCCCTGCATTACTTGGGAGTTAAGGTAGACCCTAGAAAAAGAACCCTAGACCTTGCTGCTTCTGGGAGCCACGGAAGCCAAACAGCTGAGCATGTGTTTGGAGGTTCATGGGTAGTTATAAGTAGGGTTATAGGTAGCGTAAGTATAACTATAGCCTTATTAGAAAACTTGTAACCCCACTTATAACTACCCAAGAACCTCCAAGTAGCAATGGTTCCACTCATCGCCCAGCTATCTTTACATCAGACTATCCCCCAACACCCTGTTCTTATGGTTAGCACCCTGGTATTGCGTGCGTTCTTCAAGGGGCTACAGGAGGGACCCTTAAAGGGACCTTTTGGGCTATATACGGGCTTTATGAGACAATATAAGGGGTCATATTTGGAGGTTCATGGGTAGTTATAAGTGGGGTTATAAGTCCCCTAATAGGGTTATAATTATAGTTACCCTACTTACTTATAACCCCACTTGTAACTACCCATGAACCTCCAAGTATAAGGTTTATATACGGTATTAGGATTAGGGATCCCTTCTAGGGGTCCCTCCTATTGTCCCTTAAGTTTTGTTCGCCAGCTGCTGGACCTTCCGACAGCTCCCTTCAAGCAACACTTACGGGAACACCACAACAAAAGCCCTCTTCTAATGAAGCCCTAAGCCCTAAACCTGAGCTTCCTGCGGATGAAAGGAGGCCCATTGCATTGAACAAAAATCCCTAAGCCTTAATATAGGGGCCTTAAAAATTACCTATACTATTTTTTTTTTTGTTGCGGTGGGTTCCTTGTTATAGAAAACGTATAATCTACCCCAAAACCCTATTCCAATTATTAAGGCCCCTAAACCTTAGTTCTAGTGGTCAAGGCCCTCGCGTTTTAGCCCATCTCAAGCCGGTGGAATCTTATGGTTTAGGGACACAGCGAGGAATACTGTAGGGGCCTAAATAAGTTTAGGGTTTAGGGTTTAGGGTGTAGGGGCCTAAATAACTACCAATACTATTTCGGGGGGGTTCTTTATTATTAGAATTATAGTATCATGGACCCCAAAACCTATTCTAATTGTAAAGGCCCCTATATTAGCTTATACTATGAGTCTTTAACGGAGATCGAACATTTGGGTTTAGGGCTTTAGGGTTGAGAGTTTAGGGTTTAGGGACTATACTATGTACTGCAGCATCGGAAAGCATGTTGCAGGACGTTGTGAAGTACCACCTGACGATGGTGGATGGCAGCGTCTCTCGATGAGCAGTCGCCATGCCACGCCTTTCTGCTTTCTCCCCAAGACATACAACTAGCATTCTGTGTGGCAGGTCTTGCAACCTCTAGGACCAGGCCAATGAGTTACTGGGTTCTTGTTAAGGGATTTAATTTAAGTTACCATAATAAGGAAACCATATTATTTACTATAGATCCCTACTATGGTAACTTAAATTGAAAAACCCTAAACCCTAAACCCTAAGCCCTAAATCCCTATTATGGTAACTTAAATTAGATCCCTTAACAAGAACCCAGGTTATTTCTGTGAGTTTTCTGAGAGAGCGACTGTGAGAGAGGTTTGTGTGAGTTTGGTGAGAGAGACTTTGGGGGCTCTAGGTTTCTGGTTTAGGGTTTAGGGTTTAGGGTTTAGGGTTTAGGGTTTAGGGTTGTCAGCGGCAGCTGTGAGTTTTGTGCGAAAAGAGGGTCTGAGTGGAGCTTTCAGAGCCGTGGGGTAAGCCCCTGCGCCCCAGATACACCGCTGAACTGGGTTCTTGTTAAGGGATTTAATTTAAGTTACCATAATAGGGATCTATAGTAAATAATATGGTTTCCTTATTATGGTAACTTAAACTAAATCCCTTAACAAGAACCCAGTGAAAGGATGCTGGCAGAAATCTCACACGCGTTATGCACAGACTCTCGATGGTGTTGCTCACGAGCTCTCCCGACTCACGAGTACCGCTCCCAGGAATCGCTCACAGAAACTCACACAGGGAAGCTCAGAGAAATACATTCCACACATCCCGGAGCTTGCAAGGAACTGCAACTCTTAAAGCTAGCAGCAGCAGTAACAGCAGCAGCAGCAAGAGAAGGAACGGGGGCAAAAGTCGTCGTCTTCTAGTCGTAGTCGTAGTCGCTGTAGAAGTAGTAGTAGTAGTAGTAGTAGTAGTAGTAGTAGTAGTGCTGGCGAGGCCAGCAATCGCACTAAGGGAGGGGTGCGCCTTCCAGGGTTCTGAAGTGGACCATTAGCCTCGGACAATTACTTGGAGGTTCATGGGTAGTTAGAAGTGGGGTTATAAGTCCCCTAAAGGGGTTTAAATATAGTTACCCTACTTATAACTTATAACCCTACTTATAACTAACCCATGAACCTCCAAGTAGCCTCGGACATAAACTCACGATCCTCTGTCAGGGCTCGTCGCAAAAGTTCCGTGAAGGCTGACCACAGACGTTTTGGGACTTATGGGGTTCAGCGTTGAAGGTCTAGGGTTTGAGTGTTAGGCTTAAGAGGAGTTTATAAAGTTCCACGTTTGTCTTCGCTGCTAAGAAATTGGGAGAAAGGCTTATTGCTGCTTCTTTGCGGCCTCATGTGGGGCTCTCTATCATGGGTCTCCCAAAACATCTCAGCCATGCGCTTAAACCCTAAACCCACGCTCCCCAATCATGCTAAGCCCTTCCCCGAAACCCCAGGAGACAGAGCTGTCTCTCAGCCAAGCCGCCTCTATCTTCGACGCCTGTGTTGCAGCGGCTGAAGCCAGGGATATGCCAGCCGGCCGGTTGAGGCGTGGGTTGACTGGGCTCTTGCTAGGGAAGCTAACTTAAGTTACCAAAGTAGCGTTTAGGGTTTAGGGTGTCGGGTAACTTAGGTTACCGGGCTAGTGATCTATAGCAAATAATGTGGTCTCCTTATTGTGGATGGTTCTGGAGGGTATAGGATAGTTTCCTGGACCCAATATTCGTGGGGTTTCGGCTTCGGGGTTTTAGAGTTTATGGCTTTCGGGTTCCTTGCTTGCGGTTTTGCGCTTTAGAGTCTTTTGGGGTTCCGAGTTGGAGATTGTAGCCTTGTCCTTAAGCCTTGAGCCCGATCCTGCGTCGCAACCCCATAATGCCGTAGTTGCCCCTGTTCATGTTTTTGCGCTTTGGTGAGTTACACGATGCCCCGTTACAGTACCGATCAGATGTATATCAGAACAGGCCCCAACATCCTATTGTAATTGTCACGGCCCTTGTTGCGAATCCCTGAACCCTAAACCCTAATATTGTGGCCTCAATAATTACCAATAGTATTTTTTTGGGGGGTCCTTACTATAATTGTAGTATACTGGGCCCGAAAACCCTATGCTAATTAATAAGGCCTTTACACCCTAAACCCTTATAGTAGCCCTTATAGAACCCTTTAAGGAATCCTTTAAAGGAACCCCAAAACCCTATTCTAATTATTAAGGCCCCTACATTAAGCTGTTTGTTTTGCTTAAAGGTGGTGGAAGCAAGCGCCACCTTCCAAGGTTCCCAAATTCCTTCACCAAGGAATTGGCATTATAGGGTTTAGGGTTTAGGGTTTAGGGTATAATACAATAAGGACTTCCGTATGGTACCTTAAACCCTAATAATAAGGACTTCCCTATAGTACCTTAAACCCTAAACCCGAATAACAAGGACTTCCCTATAGACCCTAAACCCTAAACCCTAAGAATAAGGACTTCCCTATAGTACCCGAAACCTTGAACCCTAATACTAAGGACTTCCCTATAGTACCCTAAACCCTAAACCCTAATAATAAGGACTCCCCTATAGTTCAATGGAGAAATACGAGCTATTAAATTCACGGGTTCCCTCAAGGATCTCCCTGCAGTTTACGAGGGAACATAGGGGCCTAAAAAATGACCCATATTATTTCCGAGGGCTCCTTGTCATAGTTATACTATATAGCAGCCCAAAGCCCTATTCTAGTTATTAAGGCCCGTACACCATGCTTTACCCAAATGTCTTTTTGGCCCCTAAACCCTAGACCCTAAACCCTAGACCCCATGGTTTTCCAGTCTTTTTGGCCTTCTCGGAGGCTGGTTGTTCGAGGTCAGGACCAACCTCTCCCTATCTGCCGGGAGAGGAAGCTCTGTGACGTCACAGGTGCTCAGGGTTTAGGGTTTAGGGTTTAGGGCGTCTTAACAACACTTGCCATAGGGGCCTCAATAATTACCAATACGATCTTGTGGGGTTCCTTAGAATAATTATAGTAGAGTATACCCCAGAACCCCTACTCTAATTGCTAAGGCCTCTGTATTAACTCATTAAGGCCTCCCTTGAGGATCCGTAGGGTTTAGGGTATATGGCCTCCCTTCAGGATCTTTGGGGGGCTTACAGAAAAGAATTTAGGGTTTAGGGTTTTAAGGTTGAGGGTTTAAGGTTTAAGGTCTAGGGTTTAAGGTTTGGGGTTTAGAGTTTAGGGTTTTAAGGTTTAGGGTTTGGGGTTTACAAACCCTAAACCCTAAACCCTAAACCCTAAACCCTAGACCACAGAACAGGGTTCCTTGAAGGATCTGAGGATTCGGGAGACAACGGAGTTTACGAAGCGGGATCCCCCCCCCTCCTTTCATTGAATGTTCTTCTGAGCACATATGCAGTGGTTTAGGGGTGTAGGGTTTAGGGTCATACATGGGTAGTTGTCAAAATTATGGTCCCTTGTTGGGTACCCTAAATAATAGGTGCCGTATTATAATAAGGACCCAAAAGGGACCATAGTTTTGACAACCACCCACATATATATATATATATATGTATGTATAGAGGCAGAGAACGAGAGACGGAACGGGAGAGAGAGCGAGAGAGAGAGCTTGGACGCGTGCAGTGTTATTGTTGCAAGTGCAAAGCTGTAGTGAGCAGCACGGAAAGAGTTTTGTGCGAGACGCATCAATCCCCTGTTCGCAAGAAGCCGCGCGCGGGAAATCAGCAACGAGACCGGAAAATGGGCTGGAGGGCCAAACGAACCCAAAGAGCCAAAAACAACAACAAAAGGAGCAAAAACAGCAAAGGAACCCAAAAAGCGAAAGAACCAGAATAAGGCTGCTCTCCCAGACGCTGGGAAATTGTAGAGCATAATTCGAAGAGTTGCCGAAAAAATGTTGTTGTTGGTTCTCTTGGTGTTGTTTGTTATTGTGGTTGTGTTGCTCTTGTGGTGTTGTTTGCTCTTGTGGATTGTGTTGGCTCTTGTGTTTATTTTTGTTTGGTTCTTTTGGGGTCTGAACTGTAGCAAAACTCCATGTTTGCAGGAGCCTCTTGCATGAAGCATTGCGTAAATGATGTTAAAGCTAGTAGTAGCAGTAGTAGTAGTCGTCGTAGTAGTACTTCTACAACTACTACCCTAAACCCCAAACCCTCAACCCTAAACCTACTACTACTGCTGCTACTACTACTACTACTACTACTACTGCTGCTGCTGCTGCTGCTGCTGCTGCTGCTGCTGCTGCTACTTGCTTTGGCACTTGCAGCTGCTGTCGGAGACGCACCAAGGAAGCATACTTTGCAGACCGATTCCCAACCACCATAGCCCCGCCTTAGACCCTAAAATGTTAGGGTTTAGGGCTTAGTGTTTAGGGTTTAGGGTAGGGTTTAGGGTTTAGGAAAATGTTAGGGCTTAGGGTCTAGGGTGCATCGCGCAGCAGCAGGCGGTGAAACGGATCTCCTGGGCGTGCCTCCAGGCCGCATAAGGCAGCCCTTGGCAGGTCTTCATGCATTCTGTTGCGGATCATATAGAAGCCTAAAGAACTGCCTATACTATTTTGGGGGTTCCTTGTTATAATTATCGTACAATATACCCCCAAACCCTATTCTGAGTATTGAGGCCCCTACATTACGTCGCCAGGTCACTCGTCCCTTTGCGCATTGCTCCTTCACCCTTCCCCAACCCGCCACTTCCACCTCCAGTGGTTTGCAAACAGGCGAAATCTCTTGACTCCCTCTCCTTGCGTAGATGTGTGATTCGGACCATTACCGGGCCACGGAAGCAGCGTTCCAACATCGCACTTCCATCACAGAGTTCGCATGGAAGCTGTAACGGACCTCATGAGAGCTAGCGCGCGAGCCGACAGCACCCGCTCAAGCTAGCCGATATGTTGAGGGTTCCCTGGGAGGCAATAGCATGGTGTACCTCCAAACCTTGCTCGAATTATTCTGGCCTATGTCCTTGAATGAGTCCTGAAACGACATGCATGCGGCGGCGACAAAAGCTGCTCCATTCAGGGATGGGCCTCCTTACGAAGCGCATTCCGTGAGGGTTCTTTCACGATTACTGACATTCAGAGGATTTTAGGTTTGCTTTCTGTTTCAGTTCATGCTGCAGCGGGGAAGGCTGCAAGTGTTTTATTTGCTGAATGAGGGAGTCCGGTTTAGGGTTTAGGGTTCAGGGTTTAGGGTTTAAGGTTTAGGGGTCTTGCCAGGTAGGAAGGCTGAGACATGTTGAACTGGAGCTCGATGACCAACCAAACGGTCAGCACGAGCTTGCGTAGTTTTGGGACAATGGCCGAAAGAGTCTTTTGATTTCAAGTCGGTGAGTCTGAGACAGTATCCCAGAATGCACAATACGGACACCGACAATAATCGGAAACCCTAACCCCCTAACCCTAAATTCAACCGCGCATCATCCCCTGAACCCCAAAACCGAAACCCCTAAAACCATAAACCCTTAAAACCCTCACCCTAGGTAGTATTACGAAGGCCCACCTTATTGAGAGGGTCTACATCCCCAAGGGTCCCCCTAATCCTAACTGAAAAACCCCAAAAGCCTAAACCCCAGACCCTTAAAAAGCAAACCCTAAGCCCTGAGCAACCTAAACCCCTAAACCCTAAACCCCTAAATCCTAAACCCAAAACCATAAAGCCCATTAAAAAAACAAACCCCTAAACCCTTAAAAACCCTGAAAGCCCACGAGATCCCCCATTTGGAGGTTCATGGGTAGGGTAACTATAATTATAACCTATATTGGGGGACTTATAACCCCACTTATAACTACCCTAAACCCTAAACCCTAAACCCTAAACCCTAAACCCTAAACCCTAACCCTAAACCCTAAACCCTAACCCCTCTTATAACTACCCATGAACCTCCAAGCAGCATCCGAGGATCTCCAGACACTACGTCTTGGGACCAGGAACTGACAACTGCGAAGCTTCGCCTCCTACCGGTTTAGGGATTAGCGTTTAGGGATTTTTTTGTCAGTGCCATGCGCGCAT